CCAGCCACGCGATGTATTTCAATGCATTTACAGTTATGTCGCGAAATGTATTTCAAAGCAAAAATGCTTTGAAATACATTTCGCGACGCTCCTGCATTGAATTTCGAGGGCGCCAAAATGCATTTCAATACAGAGTTTCGCTACATGAATAACCCCATAAGAACGATACCGTACCGTTCTTTGTGAGAATCTCATGCGATGATTGCAATTTTGGAGAAAACTTTGTCAAAATTTCGAAATCTTAAAGTATTTTCAGTTCTATTTGTAATTACCGCACACGATTTTCATGGGGTTATTCATGTAGCAAACGTCTGCACCAAAATTCAATGCAGGAGTGTCGCGAAATGCATTTCAATACATTTCGGTGGCACCGAAATGTATTGAAATGCGTTTTGAAATACAGCTTACTGGTTTTTTACGATTTCCGTTCTCATATCATGTCGATATGTACTATCTATTTCTTTGAAAATATAACTATACCCACTTCTTACTGTTTCCAAAATAAATTTGATACATATTTCCCCAATACTATGGTTTACAGAATTCATGAGTTCCTACCCATCCAGTGGTCGACGGCGGCCTATTACCCGAACGGAAGCCGAAGAAAGGGCACTGGATAAGATTTCTAGAGAGGTATTCCCATTTTTTAAACATTTAATATGACATTTCTAAGTGTCTTGCTCATAGTCAGTGAAAATTACGATCTGAATTTCTTTCCAGGCTGAAGCTCGAATGAAGTTGAAAAGAGAAACACGAGAGCAAGCTAGACAAGGAAGATATCAATTGTTAGAAAAAAAAGTTGAAGAAGATGCCGAGGCGTTTCGACATGATACCGCTGTGAGTTTCTGAGAAATGTTGAGATTCTGAATATGTGAAGAAAACACTAGAAACAGAAATCTGAGTTTCCGTTCTGAATCATAATCACCGTTACAAAACGGTGTTTGGTTTGTTGTGAAATTAACACATTGCGTTATTCCTGATCTTGTATCCTATTTGCATGTTCTTACTTTTTTCACCCATTTAAAATATTCCCCAGTTAAAATTTTCCAAGTCTAGAAAACAAAAATGAAATCAGCTGCATGATCTTTGATTTGGGATTGTTTCATTTGCAGTCAACCTCTAACACGAACGGAGTGTCTTCATCTAATCAAACTCAGGAGCAGTTGCATGTGAGTGATTCTGAGTTTTCGAAACCATTCCAAAGGTTTTCAGGACAAAGTTATTGAATTGCAAGACCGTGTACAGCAAGTCATGTTTTTATATTCGCAGTTAGATAATGAAAAGTCGACATTGTTGTATGAGGTGAGAACTCAATCCATTCAGTTATTCTCAACTGTAGTTTCCAGGTGGATCTTCTGAAAGACGAACTAGAAGAAAAAGATGCTTCATTGAATCTATCATCTAGAGAATGTCGCGATTTGACGAGTGAAGTGAAAGCATTGAAACGTACAATCGATGCATTGCACACAACTCAACAACAGCTGAAACATGAAATTTCACAACGGGACCAACTTATTCAGGTTCGAATTCCCTAAAATTCTGAAATATCCTTAAAACTTTAGGAAAATGGGTTATGTCTGGTTGAAGAAGATCCTGAAGAGGAAGGGTCCGAATCGTCGAACAACGCATCTGGAGAAATGTAAGCTTTTGTCAATGAAAATATTATTACATGAAGAAGATAAAAATACTGTAGGAGAGTATTCAAAGCACTGGTCGTTAGAAAAAGTAGAATTGTAGGAATATTGGTCGATGTGAAGAGCATTGCTATTAAGTTCCACTCTCATCATTTTTCCGCTATACAATTGTTTGTAGGTCCCTCAAAATCGAGCATTTTCTTGCTTTTCAAAATTTTGCATAGTTTAGAATTCGTCATTGTTTGATTAAGATGAAAACGAAGAAAATAGGGAGGCGAAAGAAGTTGTTGTCCGTGTCTTTTCGTTCATTAAGCTTAATCAAATGTATTTTTTTCCTCTTCACTCTTTTTCTTATTCACTTTCTTCATCATCATTCTCTTTGTATCCTTTTCAAACATCTGAAAACGCTGGTGTCTCAAGATTCTCGAAGAAGTAGTAGGAGGGGGGAAGTCAAGGGTGGACAAACGGCAACATAGAATAACGGCGGTTCCACTGAAACATTGAAATATTGATGAATCACGGGGCGCGAGAGGCATCTAAATATAGGGTGGAAGGTTTTGCAGGAAGAAATGCAAAAAAATGCAACAATAGATGATGTCAGGACCTTTAGCCTTATCTCGTCCTAATGTTTTGAATTAATGAGATATTGTAGAAATCAGTTAATTTTAGTGAGCTCAAAATTGCAGGAGCTTTTGTCTCTAATAAATAATTCATCAAGAACCATTTTAATTCTCTCAAAGTTAACGGAATGTACCTTTTTATCAGTCCCTCGTCTCTGTTCAAAATATACTTTTTGTCAATGACGCACCCCTTCAGTTGTTTCTACTCCTTTCAAGAATCCATTAACATTAGTTGCTCCCCGGGGATCGTTAATTGAATCGCAAATTTATCACACAAAAAAAAGAAGACGGCGTTGCCGAATTAGTAATGCTCTCCTACGCGCTTCTTTTTCGAGACCTAGTGAACGAATAACGAGTTCAAACGAGTGAATTAGTTTTGAAGTGTCTATAGGAGTACTGTACTACAAGAAAAGATGTATTTCAGAAGATCTGGACCTTATCTCTTCAAACGAGAGACAATTCGTTTGGTGGATAGAGTTGTTCCTGGAGCAGCAAGTCTTGATGAAAAGATTCAGAAACTTATCGATACGGTATGGACACTACTCGAGACCTGCAAGTATAATGCGAACTTTGCAGAACAAGAAAATGCGCAAAGATTATGAAGAGCTTGAACAAACCATATACACTCAGAGACATGCTCGTAATCAGCGAGATTCAACAAATGTGATGCCAAATCAAGGAGTCGACGATGTCAATAGTTAGTGTTTATTTATTATTTTTATTGGTCACAATCCCGATTTAACATTTCCAAAAACTAATTAATCAATATAAGGATACATTCGAGAAGATATATTGAGACGACAATTCAGTAAGAATTATTTCAGTTTTCTCAATATTGTGCTTGAGATTTGTATGGTTCCTATATTCATATTCGCACTTTAATTTGTGATTGGCCCTTTTTTTAAGTTGGCATTGATGTCGAGATCATTTTATTCAATCGAAATATTTACAGAAGACGCTGCCAAGCAACTTGCGGAGATGAAGCTCAAAATGCAAGATCTGGAGCGTGAGAATACGAACCAGCAAGGGAATGTAAGCACAACTTAACACAGTACAAAGCTTAGTCCTTCGTTTCAGGTGATCCGTATGGAAGGGCAAATGAAGAGGTACAAGTCGAATGCGGACGCTGCTGAAAAGGAACTAGACGAATTGAAAACGCAAATGCGGCAAGTGAAAAAAGAGGTGATTTTTGAAAGTGTATGATGTTCAAAAAATTTTATTTTTAGCTTCGTGACAAAGAAAACGCTCTGGATGAGCAGAAAGAGATGAATAAACATTTACAAAGCCGTCTGGAAAAGATGAGAATGCAACGAACCGGTCGCCCGTTATAGGAAATCCATAATTTTCACTTTTCCCCATGGTGCTTTATCACATTGCCATCATAAATATTTTCTGCTGACATAATTATTTTTTTTCCAAGACGTACGCATTTCTTAATAATGTTCTTTTTATGTGCATATTTTCAGTGCCTTCTTGACTAAACTTTTCGGATTTTTGTAGAACTATGTGGGTTTTTTTTTCAATTTTTTCTGATGTTCTTTTATAAGCATGAAATAAAGTAAGAATGACTATGCTTCATAGAGAAAATCCCTCATAGCTTTCACATCCAAAAATTCCCATATTCATCATGTTTATTCCTCATCTCAAAACACCCGTCATTAAAACTTCTCTTTGCTCTTCGTCATCGGCATATATTCTTTTTTTCGACTTTTCAGTTTCGCCGGACCCATCAATCATCGCCTTCGGAGAGAAAACGGCGAATTCGAAAAACTCAATGAAGCAGTATTTAGTTCAATTGGCAGAAAAAAAGAACCAGATACACACATAAAATGATTTTCGAGAGATCAGAGGAATCGTGAATATAGGAAAAATGAATTATCATTTTTGAGAGAAAGTAATTTCACAGATCCTCTTTTCCGCCACTATCTTCTTAGAAAAATAGGTCCCTTGGTGCCTTCTTCTAATTCTATAAAAAATTCGTTGACCTCTCTTTCCAATTATAACCCGATTCCTTTCCAGTTGATTTCGCTAATTCATGAACACTTTCTATTTTTATCAGATTTCCATCCCCTTCCTGTCCCTTTGGCAACACATTTCGGCCTTTTTTGCGCTTTTCTCAAGGCAGAGTAGAAGAAAGCAAAGAAGGATGTAAGGGAAATTCAATTAAAATTTATTTGCACAAGTCACGAAATCAGAAAAGATTTTTTGTCATGTTTTTCAGAGAGAATGAAGAAGAAGAAGATGAGTATGGAAGGGCAACAGGATGCAATTTTTGGGAAATTCGAAGAAAAAGGCAAAGAATTGTTTCACTGGAATTCGCCCCCTGATTTCCTATTATTTCGATTCTCCTTCGTATCTATGAAAACAGTCAACTCATCCTCTTTTGGATAATGATTAGCCTCATCAATCGGTCAAATCTCATCCTTCTCCTCTCATTATTCTTCTTTTTAATATCTGCAGAAATGGCAAAATCTTTTCATTAATTGACCCAATTTTTTAGTTCCTTAGGTCGTGAGTCTCATTAAGGAATACTCAAAAAGAAGGAAAACAATACTCAAAAAATGACGTGTCTAGGAAGAAGCAAAGTAGGTCAATCAGTTATAGGAAGTGCAACTACTATGCTGGTACAAAAAATCGGAGCTGTGGAAGAGAAATGCCGAAGGCCGTGGCCAAAGGTCCCACAACGACAACTACCGCAATCTGAATATATTTTCACTTTCTATATTTCTTTTCTGGGTTTTCACTGTTTTTCGTCGAGTTTTATGTTATTTTTAAACCAAACAAATCGGAAAAACTTTTATCGTGAAAATTTACGGAAAAGTTCGAAAGTCGAGAAAATAATTCCTGAAAATAAAACTATTTTCAGGTTTCGGTAGTTTTCGTTGTGGAACATTTTTCTTCGGTCACTGCCGTTTCTGTGCCACACCGAAGATCCCACAACAACAACAACTACCGTAGCCTAAAATTTGGAACTTTCAATATGAATCGGGTTATATTGTTTTTTTTCTTGTTACGTCACAGTACGGATACTCTCGACCGGAAGTTACCATAGGAAGTTCTTTCAATTTCCGACGTTCGTTGAAATTTCGCAGGAAATTAAATTGAATCAAACTGTCGTTTTTCAATTCTGTACTCTTGTGCTTCAGAAAAACCACAGTATAGTTACTGCGGTGGTTTCAAGAGCTGTGGAAGAGAAACGCCGGTGGCCGTGACCGAAGGTCCCGCAACGATAACTACAGTAGTTTAAAAATATATTAAAACATTTTCAGGTTACGGTAATTGTCTTGGTCGTACCTTCGACCACGGCCATCGGCACTTCTCTTGCACAGCTTCGATTTTTTGTACCAGAATAATACCACCCTTCTTTTAAACTTCTTTCTTTCTTCGTTTTCTCCAAAAGATGCTCATGAGTACTTCCTCTTCCTTTCTCACAACATCAAAATATTTCATTTTCTGTGTCATTTTTACGTGTTTTTGGGACATGGAAAATTAGTATCCTCTTCACTTTGAAAAACTTCTTTTGTTAGAAGATGTTGGAGGCGGAAGAGAGAAAGAAGATGATGGTAACTTCCAGAAGACAAAGAAACCCATTATGACGTTGTCGTACTTGTTTTTACAACCGTATTCCAGTAGTTGAGCACACTTGCAACCTATTCTGGGAATCATCTGCGAATGTCGAACTTTGGAATAATTGGGATGGTGGCTCAGAAGGCATAGTTCTGCTCTGAATCCATTCAACTGGCGGTCTCCAACAGATTCATTCTCCCAAGAGCATTGTAAATCAAATTACGTCAAAAATTGTGTCAACTCTTTTTTTTCCATATTTTTCAATCGCGTCATCTGTTGAATTCCAGTCCCCTAGACCATAAAACTATTCCTTGACCTTTTTAGAACCACATTCCTCTGTTTCTATCTCTCTTATTTTCATGTTCTTGAATATTTCATTAATCCTGAAACCGTCATAAAAGTGCCTCTTGAAACATCCTGAAAAAGAGGTCGTTCGTTTTTTTGGTTTCGTCACAAAAAGGGAAAAAGAGAAAGAATACTCAAATTTGTATGCTTCGAACGATGAAATTTCAGGAAACAGTATAAGAATACAAGATGAAGAAAACCCACGCATGTTAAAAATATTCTTAAAAAGAACTGTTAAGTTAGAACATCCGAAAGATGCTTATAAGACAGACTAGGATTACGGTTTTTGCGATCTTCGTTCTCTTTTTTTCACAATTTATTTGTTTTGAAAACGACGAACATGCATCTGAAAACGACTGCTAAATGAAAAATGTAAAGCAAAAAAGAAGCAAAAATGGATGAATGCCAAATTGATACATCACGATCATCTCTTCTTTCTAATGCACATCTGAAACTATTAGATTTTGCTTCCTTTGTTCTTTTCTTTCACAGTTCTCAACTCGAAAAAATTCCTCAAGAAAAACTCCGGAAGTGGTGAACTATTTCCTAGGTTGGTCGTTTTGTCGAGAGAAGGATTAGTCCTCTGACGATTAAACCTAAACTTTTCTTTTCTCGCCGTTGTCCTGACCGGAAATCAGACCACATTGGGATCGGAGAAGATTTATTAAAAGCAATTCCCGTACTTGTTTGGGTTCTTAAGTTTAGAATAATCCACTGTCGATTAATTCTTCTTGGGTTGTTGATGCTCAAAACAAAGAGAAGAGAAAAACTTTTTCATCCAACCCAACGGAATGGAAAACACAACTAGGGTTAGGCATGCAGAGATGTCCGGGTAAGTGTTCTGTATCCCGTATTTAGGATTCCGTAAAAAAGAAGCTTCTCTCGAATATTCAATAAAAATCTTTAATTTCAATAACTGCCAAAAGAAGTTGATTTCAATCTTCCGCTACGATTGAAAAAGTCTTACCGGGCACTTCTGGCTAGTTGAAAATTTCTTAATCAAAAACTTAAAATTTAAATCTTTGACTCTATCAGAACCTTCACAGTATTATGGATCTCCTTAGCTGTGTACTACCAGAAGGCTTTATATTTCCTAATCTTAATAAGATTAACATAGGCTTCGTATTATAAAAGCATAACCTTCTTTAATGATAATAAACTTGTTTATTCCCCAATATTTTTTCTTCGGAGGATCCAAAAAATTATGCGACTTCCGTATCAATTTCCCAAAGTCCGAACGACGACTTTTGTTTTCCTTTTTGCTCTAATATGCCCTCTACAACTTTTCTAGATCTTCTTCCTTGTTAGAGTAGTAAATCTAAAATGGGCGAAAAAGTTGATCCCTGAATTCTTCGAAAGTAGTTCCGTGAATAAACTCAACTTTAATAAAAAATCAGTTGATTCGTCTAGTCACCACACTGACTTCTTCGGACACAAGATTCAAATGTTCTCACACAGGATTTCATACAAAATATGACAAAGTTTTAGGTTCAAATTTGCCCGAGAGGCATGCTTATTTTGTCAAGTCAGCAAGTGGTGACGTGGCATTCAGAAGATTCAAATTCTTCCTGAAAGATTCTTCTGACAGATTCGATTATTCATTCGTCAAGTGTTTTCAGTTTTCAGTTTTCGTTTTGAAGTTTTGACAAAAGGAATTCAGTGATGGCGCATAGCGATTTTTTGTTGAAAGTTTGCGTCAGGGTACTTTCGAGCTCCTAGATTCTAAATCTGCTGGAATAGCTTAAACTATGAACTCAAATTTTTTGGGCTAAAATAGGCCCAAACGTTGTTAGCACACCAGATTGTTTTTGACTAGAAAATACGTTACTCGCTCAAAAGTTTCAACATTTCTAAAGTCATGGTGGAAAAGTTAAACAAAATTCTGAAGAAAGATACAAGAAAGAAAGATTTCTTTGAGGAAATTCGTATTTTTGAATTAAAAAATTAAATCTGACCGAAAAACTCCAAAGTTCAAAAATACCAAAACTACCGTAATTGCTCTAATTGAAGACCGTGCGAGCCTCCAATTTTGGCTCCGCGACGTTTCGAAAGACGACGTTTCGAAAGACGACGTTTCGAAAGACGACGTTTCGAAAGTGTGACGTTTCGCAAGTGTGACGTTTCGCAAGTTTGACGTTTCGCAAGTGTGACGTTTCGCAAGTGTGACGTTTCGCAAGTGTGACGTTTCGCAAGTGTGACGTTTCGCAAGTGTGACGTTTCGCAAGTACAACGTTTCGAAAGTATTACTGTCTATTCAATAAAACGTGGGCGCACATGTGTAGATTTGGTATTTTTAAATGCGCTGGCCTGAATCAACACTAACTCAAATTTTCAAAAGATTTTTCTTGCCATATCCCTCAATTCAGTTTTTAAAAGAGTTATTATTATCTTTCCTATTTTCTTTTTCTTAGGAACAGCTTTTCCGTAAAGAAAAATGTCATTTTCTTTT